GGTGTCTTCTTCAGTCACTCTCCACCTTATCCTTGGAGGTGGTGGATGGTGTCTCTCCCTGCATAGTGCCTCTTCCTGGCCTACAGTTCATTAACTCAGCTAGGCTAGCTGGCTAGAGGCAGAGTTAAGGAATCTACCTGTCTCTCTGCCTCTCCAGCTCTGGGACTACAGATGTAAATTTCAGAGCCCAGGGTTTTTTTTTTTTTTTTTGAGACAGAGTTTCTCTGTGTAGCTTTGGAGCCTGACCTGGAACTTGCTCTGGCCTCGAACTCATAGAGATCCACCTGCTTCTGCCTCCCAAGTGCTGGGATTAAAAGTGTGCCCCACCACCGCCCACCTCAGTCCCCAGCATTTTAAGTGAGTTCTGGAGATCCAAACCCAAGCCCTGATGTTTGGACTGCACGCTCTTCATTGATGGTCTCTCCAGCTCTGTCATTGCTTCTTCTAAGGTGTGACGTTAGAGATGAGCAGACAGACCTGCACTTGCTTTCTTTATTTGAAACGTTGCAGCCTCTGTCAGATCTACTGTCACAACTGCACTTCATTCCCTTGGAACCTACTAGGGTCTAGTATAAAATGTATGGACAAATATTTATTCATACGTATGTCTTATCATCAAAACACTTAGCAATCTTTATTCTAGAGACTGCAAAATAACCTGGCATGGTGAAATTAAGTGAGAATCTGTATAATCAGTTCTTCTTGTTGAAGTTACTGCTTACTGAGTTTTCCTCAGTAAACTCACATACATGAAAAGTCCCAAGCCCCAAACTCTGCTAATTGGCCCTGTTATATAAGCTTAAAGTTATATAGCTTGTAAACAACCAGATAACTCATGCATGCAATAGCAGAGGCTTATGTGTTGATTTTGTTTTATAGGTTTATTAAACTACTGTGGAGAGCATTAAAATCCATCTCAGAAGAATGAAGTGATGATCAACTACAAAAGCTGTCACTTGTTGAATATTTAATCTCTGCTGAGCACCATAAGAGGCATTTTACTTGACTTCCATTGATTTTTATAATAAAACCAAGATTAAAGTATTATTATCTCCTTTTATAAGAAACTGAGACTCAAAAACTTAAACAGTCTCCCCAGGACTTCTCTAATAAGTGTAAATTCCTGATGCCCACTGAGCCGATTCCATTCTGAAACCTATAGTTTTAAACATTAGGCCACATTCCTAACAAAGCTTTAGAAAAATGAATGGAGTGGTTTAATGACCCCATGGTACTGCACTCATTACTTAGGTACTGCTATCCACCTTTTAGGAGGCCTAGAAAAGAGTTTCTATGTAAATAAGAGAAGGTGTTCTATCTGTGCAAGTGTAGCCACGGGTCTAGTACCTATAATGCAGAGATTATCCTGTGGTCCCCAGTTGCCAGTCAGGAAAAACTGTGCTAATACCTCCTAAGCTGTAAAGTGAGCATTTGGCCTTGGGCCTTTGGGCTTGGTGTTCTGCTTCCAATTAAAAGGCACAAGCTATAATCAGAATGTCTATGCTGATAGTAAACTAACTGAAAGTAACAATCACACTTGTGAGGATATGGATGCTACAATTGTTGACTGTTAATGTCTTCAATTATACGAGATTGTTTAAATGCATTAATTCCATTTACCATCGGTCAGGCAGGTGGGCAATGCTATTCCTGTTTCACAGGGCATGGAGATGAAACTCTGGGCATCTCAGTAGTTCTCCTAAGTTCACACAACCCATCCTAGTGTGTGTTTTTGTCTTCTGAGTAGCCAGGGAGAATTAGAAGTGCCCTGCTTCTCCTGTATCTCTCCTACCATTCCTGAGCCACCTTCCTTTGGAGAGCCCCTTATTTGAATGCTTTTGGATTCATTTTCCGAAATTATGAGGTTGATCAAGCATATGCTTTTCTTCCCTTCTTCCTTCCTTCCTTCCTTCCTTCCTTCCTTTCTTTCTTTCTTTCTTTCTTTCTTTCTTTCTTTCTTTCTTCCTTTCTTTCTTTTTCTTTTTCTTCTTTTTTGTTTTTTTAAGTTTTTTAATTTAATTTAATTTTACATATCAGCCACGGATTCCCTTGTTCTCCCCCCTCCCACCCCCACCCCTGCCTTCCCCCCAGCCCACCCCCCATTCCCATCTCCTCCAGGGCAAAGACTCCTCTGGGGATTGAGTTCAACCTGGTAGATTCAGTCCAGGCAGGTCCAGTCCCCTCCTCCCAGGCTGAGCCAAGTGTCCCTGTATAAGCCCCAGGTTCCAAACAGCCAGCTCATGCACTGAAGACAGAACGAGGTCCCAGTGCCTGGATGCCTCCCAAACAGATCAAGCTAATCAACTGTCTCACTTATCCAGAGTACCTGATCCAGTTGGGGGCTCCTCAGCTATTGGTTCATAGTTCATGTGTTTCCATTCCTTTGGCTAATTGTCCCTGTGCTTTTTCCAATCTTGGTCTCAACAATTCTCGCTCATACAAACCCTTCTCTTTCTTGCCAGTTGGACTCCTGGAGCTTCTCTGTGTAGCTTTGGTGTCTTTCTTGGAACTCACTTTGTAGCCCAGGCTGGCCTCGAACTTACAGAGATCCACCTGCCTCTGCCTCCTGAGTGTTGGGATTAAAGGCGTGTACCACCACCGGCCAGTGCTTTTCTTTCTTGATATGTCCCAATACTAAAGTGGCCTGGGCATGGCTGGTGGTTATTATTACATAGCTTTTTCTTCTCACTGGCTAGGGCTGGAAGCAAAAGCGATCATTTCCTGGCTTCTGGTGTCTTCAGCAAACTTCAGATCTATCACCTAGGATACTTAAAGCTCAGTGAGATTGCTAGCAATTTTCAATGTGATTGAAAACTTAAGTCCTTGCCAACACATCTTCAAGCCAATTCTGTGATTTAAGCTAGAAAACCCTGATCCAGGTCAAGCATGATGGTGTATGCCTATAATTTCAGCATTTGGAAGGTGGAGGCCAAGAGTTCAAAGCCAGCTTGAACTGAGGGAAGGGACTACTTAGGGAACTGTGGCTATTTTATTTATTTATTATTATCACTATTATTATGATTATTTTGTCATTTGAAAGTTGTTAATTATCCTTCTCTTATTTTCATACATACTGCTCTACTTGGCTTCTTCTCCCCTACAGTCTCTAGATCTCTGCCTGAGTGTGCTTTTCTGATACCTAGGATGCCCCCCTCCCTTGCTCCCAAGAAAAGATTGAACACCATTTAAAAACCGCATCAGAATTGAAGTAGTGTAGATGTGACAGGGTCTGATTGAACATATATTCGACTGACTGAACATGAAGCCAGTAAGAGGACAGATGAACAAGAGCTAGACAGAGAAAGAGGGGTGGAGACTCAGGGAAAACTGAGAGTTATGGGAAAATGTTGATGGCATCACCATCTGACTTTACAAATCCATCAGGTATCTACCGAGTCCTATTTCTAGAACATGCCACCTACAGACAGGTGTCTTCAGTTCCATGTGTAGAAACATGTTGGAGAACTTCTTTGCTCATGTGTCAAATGAATGAATGCAAAAATATCAAGTCTCAGCTTAAATTCCTGTCCTGCCATATACTGGTTGCCTGATCTTGAGCTATTAGGGGCTCAAACTCTTGGTCTGTGCTGTGAAAGAAAATAACACTTCCAGAGCGAGTGGAAGTGCACATCATGCACAGAATATTTAAAAGGGGATTTTGAAAAATAGGATCTTACTATGTAGCTTTGGCTGGCCTGGAACTCCTTGTTTAGACCTCATTGACCTTGAACTCACAGAGCTATGCCTGCCTCTGCCTCTTGAATGTAAGCACCACCACACCCAGATTAAAAAAAAATCATTGAATGCACTGAAAGATTCTGGTAGACATCCTTATCAAACACTAAATGAAATTTAAAATGTTTTTTACTAGTATTACTTATGTATTTTGTGTGTGTGTGTGTGTGTGTGTGTGTGTGTGTGTGTGTGTGTGTGTGTGTGTGTGTGTGAACTCATGCATGTGGAGGTCAGAGAACAACTTTCAGGGGTTGATTCTTAAATTCTACCAGGTAGCTCCTGGAGGTTGAACTCAGAGTGTCAGGCTTGGTGGCAAGTGTCTTTACCTGCTGAGCTATTTGCTGACTCTAATTTTTATTTTCTTAAAGGAACCAGATATACAGGACTTTATGGTTAAAATAAAACAACTTCACGCTTAGCATTGTCATCACCAATACCTGCTGTGCACATGGCTTACCTTTTTGAGTATCAAGTGCATCATCTGCGATGTGAGAATGACGTGCTCACACCCCTGGCAAGAGCACCTAAGGTGGTGCATTGAAACGCATCTGTGAGAATTGCATCACTCTTGTCAAACTGCTTGAGCTACGCTATGCAAAAGAGAACTGTGAACTCTCCAAGTCCAGGCAGTTCTTGGCTTTCACTGTTATTAATCATGTTTCATGCCCATGAATTGCTTTCTGTAAATTCCTGTTTAAATCAACGACATTCCTCCCCCCAGATTTTGCTCACTTATAAACTTGCTATTTATAAGATAGTTACTCTACTTCAAGAAGAAGCAAAAGAAAACACACACACACAGAGAGAGAGAGAGAGAGAGAGAGAAAGAGAGAGAGAGAGAGAGAGAGAGAGAGAGAGAGAGAGAGAGAGAGAGAGAGAGAGAGAGAGAAGACAAAATTCAGAACGCAAAAACACAATCTCCACCATCAACATTTGAATGTATCCTATATTGGGCAACAGCTAGACCCTGAAGCCCCATTTTGCTTCCAGATTCTTGTTAGACAGGAATCCTGAAAAATTGGTTTGGGAGGAGATAGTGACTGTGGGGCCCAGGCACGTACTTCAGTGTTTTGGGGATGAGAGCCAAGATCTCAGCTACTCAGCATCAGGGAGAGGGAGAGAGCGAAGGAGGGAAGAAAGGAGGAGAAACACAGCGAGAGAGAGAGAGAGAGAGAGAGAGAGAGAGAGAGAGAGAGAGAGAGAGAGAGAGAGAGAGAGAGAGAGAGAGAGAGAGAGAGAGGAGAGAATCACATGGATGTCCTTACCGTGGCATCTTCCCCAGCATAGTGGTTGAGGACCCGATGGCCACCTGGATGCTTGCCAGCCCAGTCAGTCACATTGTAAACCTTGCGATCAATCACCAGCCACTGGTCGGCCTCCTTATTGTGTTTCTGGACCTCCTGCCAGGTGTACAGGTTGAGACATTTCCTGAGGCTGCCTCCCTTGCCATTTGCCTCCTGCTTTTCATAGACCTCTGCTTTCCCGTTTGCTCTCGGTTTTCCATTTGCCTGATGCGTGTCATGTAGACATGGCTGACTCCTTCCTACAAGGCTCTCACTGTGCTCAAGCTTTTCCTCCAACTTCATCGTCCCTGAATCCCTGAGATGATCTAGGTTGACTCCTAAATTTCCTAGTTCTGTAATTGGGCCATAAAATGACTCCTTTCCTGCTCTTTCATTCCTCTGCAGTCCTGATGCCTACACAGAAAGCCTTTGGCTCGTTTGTTTCTCCCGAGCCTGAAAGTGAGCACCTGCCCAGCCTGGCCCTGTTTTGGTCTGTAGCTAAACTTTTCTTCACTGAGGACAGCTGGATCACATTTCTCTAGTCACCTCTCTCCTGCTGACTGTTCTCTTAGCATCCTCCTCCTTCATCATTAAATGTCCCAGAGCACAGAGCCTGAGCCAATCGCAGTCTGGATGGATTAGATGCCCCACCCAGCGAAAGGAGGGGCTAAACTCTGGTCTCTGATTTTCCAGTGACATCATCATGGGATGGGTTTACCTGTTCTCTGGGACTCCTCCAAATAATGACCTTTAGATTTATAAATTCAACATGTGAACAAAAGCTTTCAGAATTTCCTGGATGACTGGAATCACTGCTGCTTGGTTTGGGTAAATGTTCTTTGGACAGCTATCATCTCACGCAAGGGCTTTCAAATATATTTAAGTCCCCTCCTCCCACTTTTTAAAAAGTGTCATTTTCAAAAGGGGAAAAAGTCTAAGCAAATGCTGTAAAAAGCCTAAGGAAACAATGTAAATGACTCCCCGACTCCACTTCACTCTCCTTAAAATCTTTCTGAATCTGCAAACACTTCTAAAGGCCACATGAGTGACACATGGTGATTTAGAGTCCATGTCACCTGTTTTATCTCTTAATCCTCTCTTCCGTGTCTTTCCGGTGAGGCTTGTTAGTGCCCCATTTTCCAGCTTAGAAAACAAAGGGCAGACAGTCCAAGTAACATATCACCATATCACAGCCAACCCACGAGAAGAAACCCGGAGGAAGCCAGACGTGTCCACCTCTCACTCCAAGTCTTCTCCTCTCTGACCACGTCTGGGTTTTAGATTTGCAGAACTAGGAAATTTAGGAGTCAACCTAGATCATCTCAGGGATTCAGGGACGATGAAGTTGGAGGAAAAGCTTGAGCACAGTGAGAGCCTTGTGGGAAGGAGTCAGCCATGTCTGAGATGGTTTGGAAACAAAGCAGAAGAGGAGGAGTTCCCAAGTGATGGTGGGAAGCTTCTGAATTTTGAGAAAAGAGGTTGTACAGAACTATAGTAAAAGCACACGTTTGAGAAACTCATCTGAATCTTCAACACAATTGAAAACTGTCACTAAAGGGATATATTGCACTGATATTTGCAGCTGCTAGAAGTGGTCCCAATGCTCAGCTCTAATGAAGAAGAACGCATCTGTTTTGCTTGTTGAATTAGATGTAAATATTTTAAACAACAAAACCTCACAGAACTTTTGTTGGTGGGCACTCATGACTTCAGTATTATTAATACAAAAGAAAAGGTATTCAACAAATTGTACTTTAAAGAAATTTCCTACTGGAAAAAAAAGTTGTGTTTACTGAATAATGTATGATGGGAAGGAGGTAAGTTAAAGTGTTGGCTTAGTTATCTTTTGATTACAGGGTTATGAGCTATTATGCTTTACAATTTTATGGTACTTCCCAAATCTTGAAAAATTAACAAATGGCTGTTTTATAATTTTGAAACACAAAATTTAAGAGAATCAAAGAAAATAAGGTTTGGACATAGGTTTGGACACTAAATAGAATAATATGTCATCTCCATCATATTAGTTTCTCACCTGTAAATGAAAGGAAAAGCACATTTCTTACAACTTCATTAAGCCAACGCTAGTGCTGTGGCATTTCCATAAACTCCCATAGTTTCCATGATTTCTGAGTGGAGGTTTTCTAAACACAACAAATGTGCCTGTGTGGAATATTTGTAGATCATACATATAAATTCAGGAAAACTCAAGAAGTTCAGTATCAGGGAAGTGTGAAAGCAATAGTCAGCTTAGGGCCTTAGTTGAGGCACATCAGCTCCAGGGCAGTAGGTTGGCACATTTTATAAGCTGGAGAAAGTGCTGTGTTACCATATCATGTCATGCAGACTAACAATGAGTAAGGCACCTGAAGACAACACAACCCTCATATCTACCCTTCATACCATTCTCAGTTGTCTGGAAGTTTCAAAAGGCATTAGTACTGGGGATTTTGTTAGCAAGAGTCCTCAGTACAATTGTCCCTAAATAAGTGTTCTTTTTCAGAGGGTTTGTAAGTCTGTCAGTATATGGTGATCTTTGGACTGCTTGAATCGTTCTGAAAACTTGGAGGGCTGGTCCTTGAGATAGAGAGAGCTGGTCTCTTTTGAGTCACTGCTCTTGGCTTTCTCACAATATTCTGACTCTTCCTTAGGGAGACAGTTAGGTATAACCTTCATCTTAAAGGTAATCCTCAAGCTGATTATGATTGCAGAAAGATGGGTATAACCCAAAGTTTCTTGTAAGGATAAGATCGTGAGATATTAATCCTACAAAGAGCTTTTTGAAAGCAGCCGTCTGTTGCTAGGGGAGGGTGAGTCAGTGGTTTATTTACAAATCCATTCATCAATCCTATATTGAGCAGCTTCTGTAGGGTAGCACTGTGCTAATCTTGAAAATCAACTGACCCTGACATCATCACTCAACAGGACATGACTGAGTAATGCCTAGTACTGAAAGGGCTCAGGCAGTATCTCTGAGGCATTTGGGTTCAACCTTCAGAACACTGGTGCTCCTCTCAGCTCAGAAGTCATTTTTTAATTTTAATTTTTTTGTTTGTTTATTTGGAGACAGGGTCTCATGTATTTCAGACTGGCCTCAGATTCCCTGTGTAGTCAAGGACGACCTTTAACTCATCTCCTGAGAGCTAAAGTTACACGATTGTATATGCCCCAATCTCCTAATACAGGTGATGGGGATTGAGCCCAGGGCCTTTGCATGCTACATAATTACTCTGCTAAATGAGCCATATCCTCTTTCCTAAGCTCAGAAGTCTTCAGTGGCATCAGAAAATATTTTCCTGCCCTTAAGAAAGTTCTATGATTTTATTGAAGATTCTCTGAGAACTTGTCTTCTTCTTGCCATCCTAGAGTTGAGAGGTGAGCCACACTTTCATTTCCTTGTACAAAAAAACTTCAAAAAAGAAAAAAATTGAAATAAAATGTTATTTCCTGTACTTCAACTTCTTTATAGTGATAGGCAATTCAGGACCAAAACCGAGAACTTTTGATGAAATAAACCTGGAAAATTCTTTAACTTCACCATGCCTCATTTTAATTAATTAACCAATTAATTTTGAGATGGGTTCTGACTCTATATCTCAAGATGGTGTGGAAGTCATTATAAAGCCCAGGCTGATCATGAACTCAAGATTTTAATGCAGCAGACTTCTAAATGGTGGTATGACAGGTGTGTCACCACATTCAACTTAATTTCCTCACTTTAGAAACATAGATAATGGGGCTGCAGACATTGCTCAGTGCTTAAGAGCACATCCTGTTCTTGCAGAGGACCTCAATCAGGGCTCTTAGCACCCACATTTTGTGGCTCAACTCTATAGCTCCAGCTTCAGGAGATCCAATGCCTCTAACTTCCTTAGGCAACTGTACTCATGCATGCACACACATAACCCAAAAGAAAACATTTTCTTAAAAAAGAAACATAGATGAGACTAATAATGTTCCATAGCTTTTTCTTTGTGACACTTTAACATATGAATTCAAGTGCAGTGGTAAAGACAAGGCTAGAAATGTTGGTTTTTGCATGTGTATGTGTGCATGTGCCTGTTGATGAATGTGGTGTACACATGTGCAGGGGTGTGTCTGTCTGTGCATAGGGAGGCCAAAGATAGGTTCTGAGTGTCTTTCTCAATTGCTTTCACTTTATTTAGGGAAATATGTTTCTTGCTGAACTCAGTCTCACCCATTTGGCTAGTCTAGCTGGTCAACTCTTTTGGGGATCCCTGTCTCTGCCTCTCAAGTGCTGGGATTACAGATGTTTTGCCAGCCTCACTCAAATGTGGTAAGTTCATCAACTGCCTGCTAATCTCCTTAGTCTCTGATATTACTGTTTAAATTTTTTTTTTAGGGAGTCTGAAGGGAAAGATCCTGAACGGCTAGATAATGTTACTCCTAGGAAACATGGTTTCTTACACAAAAATCTCAGTGCCAGGAGTGGGATACCTCCTCATGTGTTGTTGATCAGGAAAGCCCCCAAGAAGTCCCTCCATGCAAACTCATAATTTATTTTGGTTGCTCAGCAGAATTAGTTGATAAGACCCCATTGAAGACATCATACATTGTTGTTGTAATGTATGGAGAAATCAAAGGGGAACTAAGCTGGAAACTTCCTCCTAGCTTTTTCATGGTGTGGGAAAGTGCTATTCGGGCTGCTAGGGGAAAGGAAAAAAACTATGAATAGTCTTAGCCAACTGTGAACCTTATGAAGTGTAATACTAACCTCCTGGGCAAGATATGTCCACTGGTGCAATAGCGGTATGACTATTATAGGAGTGGCCAACTGCTCTTGGATTGGGAGAATTCATAATCAATATTGTAAAATTAACCAAAAACCCATGATAGGAGAGGTCATAGACCATAGGACGGAATTTACTAAATTATTTAGCTGAATCGACTTGGTATGACATTGGCTTCTTAATATATATGTTATTATGTGTCCATAGACAAAGGCTTCTTTCAGTGTTAATCAGAGAAGCCTCTTTCTGCAGAAAATGATGACGAATGCAGAGACTCATAAGTGCACAAAGTGCTGAGAATAAGGAATAGTTCAGTGCTCAGCTCTAATTAGGACATGTATGCCACCTCCTTTAAGGCCTTGGGGTCACCATGGAAAGGGGAATTGGAAGAATGCAATACCTAGGAGAGAAGGCGAGGGGCAATGAAATGCTGCTTTCTAGTTATCACATACCAATGCAATCGTGAACTGACTACAGCTGTGGTTGACTGCAGTTTACTGCAGGGCTGCAAAAACTGGGCCTGGGGCCTAGAGGTTTGCCTCAGCAGTTAACAACCCTTTCTGCTCTTGCAGAGGATCTAGGTTAGATTCTCAGCACCTACATGGTGGCTTACAACTGTCTGTAACTCAAGTTCCAGGGGATGCCTTCTTCTTATCCCTGTACAGATACACAGGCGAGACATAGGCTTAGAATAATAAAATAAAGAGTTAAAAACACTGGGCCTGCTAACAGTCA